AGGCTATGGCACCTGGGTGCACATATGACCACCGTTGGCGCCCCACGAGTCGCGCAAGCGCCCCAAATGCGCAATTGTGCAGTTACATGTGTTGTAGATCGTTTTGTGAAGACTATTCCTTCGTTTTGGCGAGCGTCAATCCGGCAGACGCTCCCGTCAAAACATGTTTTCCATACACTGGAACAGGTCTGGCACCACCGCTGTACCAGCCCATGTTCGCACCGGTAGACAAATTCTATTTTTGTCCTGTGGTTGTATAGCTCATAAATGTTTCACATAAGCGTCGCCTGCATGTTTTGCATGCGGTGCCCCATTGATGCTTAATAATTTTAACCTTCCCGCACCTAGATGAATCCGCCGCACACACAGCCTTAACGAGATGGGGCCAAGCAGAAATCGTTATGTCTTAGGTGCATGCGTAGAAACATGTCGCATCTCTTCTGGTTGATACAAGAGATTCATCTCTGCCAGCCGTTTGCCCTCCACGGTACAGTGCTGTAGTTTCGCTTTAAGCATGGCTTGCTAGCGTTCCTGGACATGTGGCACATCTACGCCGTGCAGAAATAATGGAAATAACATCCCAGTGTGCACCTGTCGATCCTTGTGGAAAAGTCTTACGTATGATTATGGCAACGCCAGTCTTACCGCTTACGGTGCTGCAAGCGAAAAACGGAACAGACCAAAACAAAAACCCAGACCAAATTGCACAAGTAACAGCATTCCCGTTCTGATGTGTCTATTGGCGTTTGTTGGAAATCACTTTTTCGGTAGGCCCTATTTATTTCAAACTTAGTGGTGGCGCTACCATCAAACGATAGCGAATAGTGCGCTTGAGTACGGTGGACCAGTCCCCATCTCATTGACTCACGTGGCGTCCTTGAAGCATTTGTCACATAGCTCTCACCATGACCGTGTGCGTAGTCAGCGAAAAAGCCCGGCCCAGCCTTCCGTTGACTACCCACATTTTCGAAGAAACCGTGACGCGCACGTCACCGGCGCCGCGTCCGTGGACGCGGAATCGTGCTGCGTTGGCGTCCGCGGTCGGGTGTCAGGTTAGGGTCCAGCGTGAGTCGCTAGGTGGCAGTATGAGTTAGCCGGGGACGCTCGAAGCCGGGGCTTCACCGCGATGACTCACCGGCCCGCCTCAAGGCCGGCGGGCACTGCCGGGTTGCAGGGAACCGCGAGTCACCGGTGGACGCCCACATCAGCATGAAAAAGCACCCGTACCTTAGAATTGTCGTCCCGTTTCGTGTTTCTATTCAAGCCCGCCGTCGAACCTTGATGATCTTTTCAAATATCTCTGCGCCCCTCTGCAGTGGCGGCGGAGCAGCGCTCACAGGAGGCAGGCATGGTGGACAAGAGTATGCTTTTGTCCCTCCCCAATTTCTGGGTGGTCCCTTCTTCCCAATTAAAGGCATTTCAACTGCCCTGAGGTTACGAAAATTAACACCAAGAATGTCTTCATACCTGAGCTAGAAATTGATAAATCGGGTTCAGAACACCCCTTTCCACCATCAAGAGGCCTGTTTTCTATACCGTAAGGTCACCTTTATGAATAAGATAGCTCATGCTCTAGATCAGAAGGCACAGACATTCTGTGCATTGGACATTCTGTACTTTGGACATTCTGTACCTTTGGACATTGTGTACATCGGACGATATGAACGCATCCCGCTCGGGGAGGCCCCCGTTATAAACTAGGAGGCCCTGTTCTGGGTTCCAACGCACCCTCGGTATTCGGGAGGCCCTCTTTCTGGAACAGGAGGCTCCTTTTATGCCTTGGATGATTGCGGTTCCGAATGGAATGGATGCTCTATTTTGTGATTTTGAAGCCCCTTGGCGAGATTTGGAGGCTCCTTCGTGAATCAGAAGCATAGGAAGCAGGAGGCCCGCATGGTAGGCGGCCTCCTTGAAAATCTAGCCAGCCGAACACAAAATCCGTAGTGTTGCCCCTTCCCTTCTGTGCCATTGACGTCTGAAGAGACCATTTAGTTTCTCACTTCACCTGTTGCGGAAATGAAGAAGATGAAAGGTGAATGGATGAAGGAATGCTTCCATCTCGCCAAATCCAAAATATTTTAGATATCCGAGCCACTGTAAAGTTCATGTGATTTCAAGCATTGACAAAAACACTGACATGACGAAACTACTACTTCCGAGTACTCATCCACGTTGAAGGGTCGATGCTAATGCAGAAACTTTGAGGAATTGTAGCAATGCAAAAAGGCAACTTCCGTAAGATACCCCATAAATTGGCAGATGATGGCGGAACAGCTCTGGTATTTAACCTCGAGCGAGTTTTAACTGAGCGATTTCTTTCTCATTTAGGTCAAAAATTCCAGATGCTTACTGACTAATCCATATGGGCTGAGCCTAAGACGGCATATGTACAGTATGCACCAACATGTATGTTTGCGACTTTTATCAGATATTGTGTCAAAACGTGGTCCCATGGGGGAGGGGGTGGGGGTGGGGGCAAAGACTTAACAAAGGGCCAGGGTGGTAAGACGACGCAGCTGCGCCAGGGTGGTTAGATTAAAAGCTCGAGTCGCTTCGGTGCCCGCTCTTTGATCCTGACTGGGAAGAACTGCCGCCGGGGTCAGTGGCCGCCCAAGGTCAGCAGGGCGGACCAAGCCAAGCGTTACGACGCAGTGAACTCCTGCCACAAAGTTCTGTCGTTTGGTTGGAATTTTACGATCGAATAGTCGGGCGGCCAGGGTTTACATAGCAAGGCGTTGCTTAGCATGGGGTCACACCTCAGGAATCCATCCAATTCAGCCACATTTTGTATGTTCGATTTAGATATTTAAAATTACCCGAATGACTTGCATCGGTGGCGTTGACCCCATACTACCTATATGTTACCTGCAACTCCTTGTACTCTACACCGGGAATTCAGTAGTGTGATTCCAGCTTAACGAATGATTTTGCCTTCGATCATTTATCCACACGAGACCAATAGAGGGAAGTTGTTTATGTCGTGCGAGGCTACGGGACAGCTGCCCCGTGCCAGGTTGGCGCTGATGACCAGCCAGAAGACCGCAAGGAAAGCAGTTCGTTTTTCCGGGACTCTAACCCAGCGCCACGGGATCCAGATGAGCCGCCGTCTTTCCTGGGCTCGGAGTCGGCCATAGCGGCATGTAGTTAAAACATTCGCTGAGGCGATCCGGGCTAATTATTGCAGACCTTGATTGCATTTAGATCAAACATCCCCACGGCTGCATTACGACACTATTCTCTCAAAAGATCTCATAAGGGTCGAGAAAAACAACAACAAAATGCCTGATATAGTAGCCTGCTAGCGCTTACCAACCGTCAGGGCTCACAAGGTACGATTAAAACGCGTTCACGCATGTCGAAAGCGCCTGCCGACTCCTGTCAGTTGTCACAGGGACATATGGCCACATCACCTTAAGTCATCGTCTTCTGGCGTTTACAATGCACGTGAAGAAACATTTTACGGACGTCGCCAGGACGCTTTAAAAACTAGTCTTCCGAGCAGGCACACCCGTAAATGTTCAGCAACACCCACGAACAAGTTTCGCTTCCAGTCGGACATGGGTAAACCCGAAGAGGCAGCGCTACACTGTGACGTCGGTGGCATTCATTACAACACTGCTGCTGCCCAAACACCGAAATTTGCTTATCGAGCTGCCTGGGGGCGCACTCACGCGGGATCTGGTCAGGCTTGATCATAAAGGCGCGTGCCTGATAAAAATCAAGCGTCACCAGGTGCGACAGACGCTTCTGACGCATCGTCGCATGTACGCGGGTTTTCACCGGCCACAGGGCGGAGAAAAAACGCTCTGCTGAAACTGCCGACACTGGTGTGGTCATTACGAGGCGACGCAGACACACCTCTTCACTCAGCATTCCTCTGGCGACCCTACCCTTTGACGCGGGCACCAGACACAGATCGGCCGCAGTCTTCATGTCTGGCGTCATGAGACCGGCGTTGCGAAGCCCTTTCAGCTGCGCCGAGAGCAGCTCTGGGTCGACATCGGGTGCGACAGACCTCCGTTTCGCAGCCAGCAGCTCCAGAGACCAGTGACTCTCGAAGTTCGTCTGTTGCTTTAACCTGATCTTTGGTGAGGATGTCTCTCAGCTTCTGCAGTGACATCCTCCGTTCAGCAAAGACGTCCCAGCCCAGGCTGACCGAAAGCGACGCTGCAACTCGACAGTTATAAGGTCCAACGCCTCTTAGTAATGGCGACGGAGGGAGGTCCGGCCTTAAAACTCGGTGTCACGCACAGCATTTGCGCACTACTACAAAAGTTTCGGTAGCCCGGTCAGTTTTGGGGCCGACGGAGGGTCGGCATGAGTCTATGTCTGTGACGTTCTCCTGGACTCTGTTGAAGAGGTCTGTGAAGGTTTTCTCCTCTCGCATGTCTTGCATAACCTTGATGAGTGCCTGCGTACCGAGAAACTCTGTGTCAAAGTGACATGAGTGTTTTATTGTCTTAAAATGGGTCATTTCCAGCCTGAGATGGGACCCCTCACGGAAGCGAGATAATTGCCCTTTGAGCTTAAGATGGGCCCTTTTCGGACCAGATATGGCCTTCTACGCTCGCTTTGGTAACAGCATAAGCGAGCACTACAATACATACCCAAGAGCCCCTTCTACGCACATGCTACATTCATAGCCAAGGGCCCGTTCTGGGCCACCTGATATTATGGGGGAGAAAAAGAGATGGGGTGAGTTTGCTTCCGCTGCCCCCCCCCCGATACGCCACCAACGGTAGACGTACGGTAGGCCCATCCCTTGCCGTCCCGTCCCACCTCTTCTTAGCTAGCATGTCCCGTCTGGATGCGTCCCAAATGCCTCCAACGGCACAGTCGTTTTTCCTGCAGTCATGGCGATGCTCCCAACGCCTCTGACAATGACTCCCAGTGACGTCACGTTAGAAGTGTAACACATCAGAGACTCGTCTCCAGAGCTAGACGGCAATGCCAAGTCGCGCCAGTTTTGTCAAGGTTTCATGAACTCGGCCCGGGTTTTGCCGATTTTGCCCAATGTTGGCCCAACGCGTTCTGGGTTCTGGTCGTAGCGGGCATGTTATGTAGTTACATTAACTATTCATATTTACGATTTGGGCGAGATATTTGGCAGGTTTTGATCTGAAGGGTGGAGGACGTCTGGTTTTGATCTTGATTCTGAACGAGTTGGTTTTAAGTTTTGGGTAATTGTATTCCGGGGGAGGTAAGCAAAGGTTTAGCAGTTATTTTCACCTAAGTAAGCAATTTGGGTACAATTAAAGCATGCATTACGATTATGGTTGTCTATTAGTACCAGGCATGGAAGTTACCAGCCTATCACCTGCAGCTTTGTTGAAGCCTTCACTTTTTGTGTACAAAGTTGTAAGAACTGTTCCCGGCACATGTCTACAAGAAATCAATCAACTGCTCTGGATGCTGAACTGGCATCAATACACTGAACCCATCCTATGTGTGAGCCAATCTCAGGGCAGGCAAAAGTTGACTCAATCTGTGCCTATAATCTCCAAAACTCATCCGTGCAAATGTTTTTGGATTTCAGATCTTAAAACAATCATTGTGTATGCCTTGTGGATGATCATGTCAGGGTAATGCTGCTTTAAATTATGAACCATTGCAACATTCCGTATCCTTGTGTGTGATGTTGGCCCTCTGCTCAAATATGAGAGACGACAGTGCTCTAAAAGCATGATGCTTGCATTTATGGACTACATGTGCTAACATTCATGTGATAATGTCTACATAGACACAGGGTTAGGTTGTAATTTTTTCATGATTCTGAATAACTGAGGACTGTATAGTTCAGTGTTAAGTATGGGCAGAGCCTTCCCAGTATGTGGAAAGTACAACAGAGTAGAGCGCAAAACTGTTTTGATCGTTTGGGAGTTGAAAACAGCAGTATTAAGTGGTCACTGTATGCAGATTAAAAGCCAGATTTCTGTTTCAAAGTATGGTTAACAGTGTAAGTGAGGTGATTTGCACAGGCAATTAAAATTTGCTTACACTGGAAAAGAAGCTGGTGACATGGTTTGGATGTGGTCCCCAGTATTACTGTTTTGGGTGCTGTCCCAAGTATTAATGTTATCATGCCCATCTCCTAAGGCCAGACATCTGCTGTGTTGACCAGGTTTTCAGTGTGACCTATACACCCGACAAGATGTGGCCCTCCCCGGCCCTGGACTCCCAGTCGTCGGTGTCCAGCGACGACGAGCAGATGAACAGCAGCTCGTGGGAGCCGTCTGGCAGCGAGCCGGAGCCAGAGCCGGAGTCAGAGTCCGAGGCGGTGCCGGTGCCAAAGCCGAAGTCGGTCCAGATCCGGCCGCTATTCACAGCCGAGGAGGAGCGCGACATGGTGACGTGGCTGACGCGGTGCGCCGCCCAAGGCTTGGCTATCAGCCGGGCGCAGTTCATCGAGGAGGTGCAGCGTATCGTGCTGCTGGAGCAGCGCGGCGTGCAGAGGTCAGTGGGCGACGGACCAACTAGGCAACTCTGCAGCAAGCCGGCGCTTTCCGCCATTGGAGTGCGTACCGTCTTAAAACACACTGTTGCCTGCTAGGATGACTGCTGTTCGCGGCCAAACCTTTCTCAGCACCAGATGTACCAAATATGTGGCGGAAATCATGGGCCTTCAACTGTCACCAAATAAGCAATGACTCGGGCAGTCATGCTGCCTTCGCGCTGGATCGTTCGTTTCTTCGAATGTTTTCACCCTGGTCTGTGTTACATTGAATCGTTTCGCGCCGTCCGATTCGATGCGCCGTTCACTGTGCGACCTCCCGCGGGCATCCGTCAACGGTTCGAGAGGTGTGGGCGGCACGCGCCCGTCACCCCGCACGCCCCTGTCGACCCGACCCGACCCGACCCGACCCGACCCGACCCGACCCGCCCGACCCGACCCGCCTCGACCCGCCTCGACCCGCCTCGCCCCGCCTTCGAACCAGCCCGCCTCGACCCAACCCGACCCAACCCAACCCACCGCCCGAACCCAACCCGACCCGACCCGACCCGACCCGACCCGACCCGACCTGACCCGACCCAGCCCGCCTCTACCCAACCCGCCTCGACCCAACCCGACCCAACCCAACCCAACCCGACCCGACCGACCGACCCGACCCGACCCGACCCGACCCGACCCGACCCGACCCGACCCGACCTGACCCGACCCAGCCCGCCTCTACCCAACCCGCCTCGACCCAACCCGACCCAACCCAACCCAACCCGACCCGACCCGACCCGACCCGACCCGACCCGACCCGACCCGACCCGACCCGACCCGACCCGACCCGACCCGACCGGGCCATATCGCCTCGCCGGCAGCGAGAAGGGCGTGTCCGACTGGTTGGCGGCGTTCGAGTCGCGGTTCTCTGACGAGCTGCGCGCCTGCCGTCACGGGCCTCTGCTGACGGCCGGCGCGGCGCCAGTCCGCTCGCCGACGGCCTGGTACCGCTCGGTGAGCGCCGCGCTCGCCGCCCACCACCCGACCGTGGACTTCGCCGACCCGGAGCGCGTGTTCTGCCTGGGCGAGGTGAACCTGCGCCTGGACGTGGCCAGCGGGGCCGTGCTGGAGCTGCGGCCGGCCGGCGCGCCGTCGCCGCCGCCGGCCGGCCGCTCCGCTGACGCCCCCGATAACGTGGCGTGCGTGCTGGTGGTGTCGGCGGGCGGTGAGCAGGCGCCGCCCATGCTGGTCACGCCGGCCGGCGGTCTGGTGCGCGACGACATGAGCGGCGACGACTGCTTCCGACAGACGACAGCCGACGGTGAGTGGCGCCTGCGCTGGGACTGGGACCGCCTGGTACACCCGGCCAGCGCCCCCCCCCCCCCCCCCCACACACACACTCTCAAATTTGGACACAGCGGGAGCGGGCCAGATCGCCGCCGAGATCTGTGCGCCTGATATTTGGTATGGTCACGCGCGCGCTTGATGAATGCAATGACGTGGGAGTCGGTGCTCGGCGACAGCCTCGGCGCCGCCCTCAATCGTCGCCACGTGGCTCTCACGTGACGGGGCGCGCCGGCGCGTCGGCAGGCCGCGTCACGTCCTCGGCGCTGATGACGTACCTGGTCAAGTCGCTGGAGCCGTACCTGGCGTCGCGGGCCGTGGCGCGGCCCGTGCTGCTGTACGTGGACGGGCTGCGCCACCGCTGCGGCATGACGCTCTCCCAGTTCTGCGACGACGAGCAGATCGTGCTGGTGGGCCTGCCGCCGGCCGGCCAGGCGCGCAGCCCGGTGGGCGCCGCCATCGCCAGCCTGCTGGCGGCCAACTTCGAGCGGCTGGTGGCCGAGGCGCGGCTGGGCCGCCGCCGCGAGCCGACCGGCTGCTCCTCGGTCTCGCTCAGCCGCCTCGTGTCCGGCATCAGGCAGGCCACGCGCCGCGCCTGCAAGGAGACGATCGCACAGGCGTTCACGTGAGTGGGGCCCGCTGTCTCAGAGGTACGGGGTTCGATTCCCCGCGGCGCCCGCCCTTCCTGCCAGGGTGAGAGGCAGGCGACGCCATATAGCCTCAGCAGCTGAGTGCGTCGTAAAGCCCCCCCCCCCCCCCTCCCCCACACACACAGATGATGTGGGCGTGCAACGTCTGAGCAGACATGGGCCCCGATCCCCGTGGGCGATACAGCCTCATGAGGTCTTCGTTGGCTAGACTGCTGATGCGACGGTCCGTTTCGGGGATGAAGGCTCAAGCTACTCTTCTGCTTGTGTATCCGTTGTTGGTGTTTCATTTCCCGCTGAAGGGACGCGCGCCTTGAATGTGACATGTCCCTTTTTCAAGGTCAGTGATCTTCGTGTTGGTTGGAAAGTCCTGAAACTGAAAGTCTGGCCGTTTACGTATTTCCTCAAGTCCCGCCATTTGATCGAAGTTCATCTGTCTTCATCTGTATTAGTGGAGCCGGGTGTGCTCATTTTTTTAGTTGTCGCTAGTACCCCATCTCTGCTACCCAGTCTGTGATTCTCTGCAACGAGCATTCACATATATCGAAGGCCCATGCTCTCCGCGAGTAAAGATCGCTGCCACAGCTCTGTCAAAGCCTATTCCTGACGTCCTGTTCAGTGCCCTGACTCAATCCGCATAGCAACCTAAATAGCTGGCTATCTCAATGCTCTACAGCTCTCAGCCATCGCTGTGTAAGCGCCTGCCATAACCCACTTGACCTTGATGTTGGCCGTTTGATTATCAGCGCCATTTGAGAGTGTATTGGCACATGTTTGCACTGTTTGAGGGTCGTTCTGCCCCCCCCCCCCTCCCCCTGCATCCGTGTGCGGGCCGTCTGCGCCGCGTGAGCGGCCGTGTCTCCCACCTGACCTCGCCCCGGCCGTCGCCAGCGCCAGCGGCCTGTTCCCGTGGGGCGAGGACGTGATAGCGGCCTGCGAGCCCGCCGCCGCCGCCACCGCCGCCGCCGAGCCGACCCAGAACGGGCACCGGTCGGCCACGAGCCCGGCTGCCGAGCTCACAGAGCCCGACAACAGCATCAGCACCGTCAAACGTGAGGCGGCGGCGTCCGGCGCCGAGAGTGTTGCGACTGGCCGGCTGGTATGGATTGCCGGATGCTTTTGCGGGACGTGACGCCGTTTGGGATTTCAAACGACTGTAGGAGATTTCGTCTGCATGCACTTGTGCCAAATGTTGTGGGCGTTTGTGTTGCACTTTCGTGAAAACGGCAGTGTTTGTGACGGCATGCCTCTCATATTTCTGAGCTCTTAGTGTTTTACGCCCGAGTCTTGTTGAAGTTAAGCTCGCAGCGCCTGTGAACACCGACCCGATGCGTTGTCCACCTGGCCGGCCCGAGGTGTGTCGATGAGCGCCGCCGCCGGCCCTGACTGAGCATCTGCCGGCCGGCCAGCGGCGGAGCTGCCCTCACCCGGAGACAGCAGCTCGGAGCCGGCCAGCTGGGACTCCGAGCCGGAGCCGGAACCGGAGCCAGAGCCGGAGCCGGAACCGGAGCCGGACGCACCTGAGCCGGAGCCGGTGGTGCTGCCGCAGGCTCGACTGCTTGAGTATCTGCGCGTGCTGGACGCGGCAGGCTCGGCGCTGCACGCGCAGCGGCAGCCGGACAGCGCGGCCGTTGTGGTGAGGGGGCTGTCCGGGCCAGGTCCGGGTACCTGACGGAGGGGAGGGGGGGGGGGCTTTCTGTCCCCCGCGGGTGTCTGACGGTCGCCATCCGAGGCGGGCCGACTCCAGTGGTGAGGCGTACCCTGATCAATGGACTAACCCCACTGACGTCACCGGCCGGTCAGGTGACGTGAGCAAGAGCTGATAGCTCATGTAGCGACCTCACCCGGTCGACGTGTCCCGTGTTACGAACGCTCGCAATGTCTCGGGGCAAAGGGCGGTCGTGTCCATGCGACAGCGCTTGAGGACATTCAATTGCTTTGATAGTTACTTTGATAGTTGCTTTGATAGAACCATCCCGCAAGGTGTCCCTGACGCAGGTCGATTTTGTGTGCCAGACCAGAATGTATCGTTTCCTTTTTGTTGCGACCTAAATGAGTGCAGTTCTATTGCTCAAGTGGCTGTCATCCAATGACAACGTAGTATGGGCTAATACATCAGTTAGTCGACTGTGGACCATCGCTGCTATGCCAGAGCGTTGTAAGTGGTTCGTGGCGCCCCCTCACGGTCGCAGCGCCGAATGATTTGGTTGGTCAGTTAATGAACAGAGCGCAGCCGTCGCCGCTGCTAGGTGGTCGCCTGTTGCTTGGTGTCGGCGCCCGGAGCTGGCGCGTGGTGATGTGCTGCTGGGGCCGGCAGATGGAGCTGCAGGACAAGCTGCGCGCCCTGCATGCGGCCAGCTCCGGCCTGCCCGTCGACACGACCGCCGCCGTCCCTTCCGGTCCGGTCGGCGACAGCGCCGGCGAGGGCGGCGCCGAGCCGGTACGTGCAGCGGCGCCCGTCCGCCGCGGCTGCCGGTTGCGCCCCCGTCCGCCGCCGCTGCCTGTGGCGCCCCCGTCCACCGCCGCTGCCGATGGTGCCCCCCGTCCACCGCAGCTGCCGATGGTGCCCCCGTCCACCGCAGCTGCCGATGGTGCCCCCGTCCGTCGCCGCTGCCTGTGGCGCCCCCGTCCGCGTCCGCTGCCTGTGGCGCCCCGCCCGCCGCCGCTGCCTGCTCTGCCACCGCCGCTTGAGTGGCACATGACGGCTCTATGGGTATTAAAAAAGCAGCAACAAAAAATTGGCCCATACATCAGGCCCATTTGGCAATGAAAGGTACTTTCCTAAATCGCAGCGTTTAAAATTGCCCGCCACCATGAAGCTTCCGCCACTAATCAGTCCTGCAGTATTTGTGTACGAGTGATAAGGCTACACTCAGTTCTGCATGGTTTATGTGACACTCATTTCATATATGTTATTTGCCCTTCCCCTCCCCCCCCCCCCCCCCAACTTGGCCTGGTGGTAAGCTCAGATTCGGTAAAATGAGTGTGATTTCGTTTAATCAACTACGCATACCGCATACGGTTGCTGTTTTCCCCTGCCAGAGGCCGGGCAGTGGCGCCGCCCGCCGTCGGTGCCGTGCGTCTGGCCTGTCTTAGGCAGCGGTGGTACAGGCCGGCCGGGCCTCTTGTCGGGCGGTGTGACCCTGCGTGGCTCCCGGCTCGGCGGCCGGCCCGTAGCAGGCGGTAGTGCCACAGGCCGGCCGGGCCTCTTGTCGGCGGTGTGACCCTGCTGGGCTCCCGGCTCGGCAGCCGGCCGGTGACAGGCGGCGGCGGCGGCGAGCGGCCATGTCCGACCGAGCTCGGCCAGCAGCCGGGCTTCGCTCACCAGAGCGGCGGCGCCCGGCCGTCCCCTATCGATCCCCCTGCTGTCCGATGGGCGGGCCGACGGGGGCGCCGGCGGGGGCGCCGGGGGGGCCGCGATTCGGACACGCGCCGGGCGCGGGGGCTGACTGGGGAGGGGTGCCGGGTCACGAGCCCAGGGTGCCGGGCACGCCGGCGGTGTGGGCAGAGCTCCGCACACTGTCGGACGGACCCTTGACGCACGCAAGTGTCGCGTGTTGAATGCCTGACTCGTGTGTGAGTGCGTTCTCTGTTCGTGCTTTGTCAAGGCATGGCTGGTGCTGGCGTGTGGCGTGCGCGGGGCAACTGATAGGGCATGCTCTCTGACTAACCAACCATTGAAGCCATTGCAGGATGGTTGCCTGGCAACAGTATGCAGGTGGTTCATTGAAGGGTGCAATATCTTATTTCAAACATGAACATTTTGAATATGAACATGCACGGAAACATTTTTGTATCCCCTTGAATCCACTACCTTGTAACCCGCCCAGTAGGACACGGTGGCGCTTTGTGGTAGCCGACTGCGTCGGCCGACTGACCTCTGACCCTGTGGCAGCAGGCGTGCGTGGTGCAGTCGTGCGTGCGCTTGCTGAAGACGGACCGCCGGCGCCGGCTGCACCGGTTCCCCGGCTCGCCGGAGCGCGCTGCCCTCTGGCGGCAGCGGTGCTGCCTGCCGGCGGACGCACCCACCGACGCGCTCAGGGTCTGCAGTCTGCACTTCGCGGCGGACGACTACGCCCGGTTCGCCAAGAACGGCCTGGTGCGCCACCTGAGGCCCGACGCCGCGCCACACCTCAACATGGAGAGGTGGGCGGCGGCGGTGGCGCCGTGCGCAGGGAGCCGCCGGCCCAGTGTGCTCACACATCGTGGGACGCCTCGTTTTGACGTCAATTCTCGGATCATGCGTTTTTCACCCGAACTAGGGCAACGATGCACAGCTTGTGTCGATGGTATACGGTACCGCGCGTCTCCAATATGGCACACCCATTAACGCCTCCGATTAACTCGGAACTGGGGAAATAAATGGATAATTTCGCTCTGTCCGTGCCTCATGTTCAGCGCGATTGTGCAGGCCGGTGCCGCTCAGACGGCGTTCATGACTGCACATGATATTGTGGCGGGAAGCGGTGCAGGGCGCGGCGCAGTGGTGTCTCGCCGGACCGTCGCCCGAGCCGTGTGCTGACCGCCGCCCCGTCCGACAGCGGGGCGCTAGCGTCGCCGAACGACTCCCGCTCTGTGCGCGGCATCAAACGGCCGAAGCGCTTTGACGACTTCCAGTGTCCGGACGGCACGCCGGTGCGAGCCGGCGTACTCGAGTCGGCCGCCAACCCGCTGGCCGGCTGCGATGCGCAGACCGGCGTCACCACTCCCGGACCCCCCGTTGTCGCCGCTGGCGACATGACCGAACTGGCCAACAAGCAACCGGCCGCGCTCAAGGCCATCATCCGGATCCTGCGCGAGGAGAACCAGCATCTGCGCGGCATGCTGGAGACGGAGCGCGGCCGCGCCCAGCAGCTGGCTGCCGGCGTCGAGCGGCTGGTGCGCGGCTACCGGGACGGCACATCACCCTGAGACCGGACGGCGTCCTGCTCCGACGGACCGCCGTCCTGAGACCGGACGGCGTCCTGCTCCGACGGACCGCCGTCCTGAGACCAGACGGCGTCCTGCTCCAACGGACCGCCGTCCTGAGACCGGACGGCGTCCCGCTCCGACGGACCGCCGTCCTGAGACCGGACGGCGTCCTGCTCCGACGGACCGCCGTCCTGAGACCGGACGGCGTCCTGCTGCAACGAACGGACCGCCGTCCTGAGACCGGACGGCGTCCCGCTCCGACTGACCCCCGTCCTGAGACCGGACGGCGTCCTGCTCCAACGGACCGCCGTCCTGAGACCGATGGACTGCCGTCCTGGGTCGGACGGCGTCCTGCTCCGACGGACCGCCGTCCTGAGACCGGACGGCGTCCTGCTCCGACGGACCGCCGTCCTGAGACCGATGGACTGCCGTGCTGGGCCGGACGGCGTCCTGCTCCGACGGACCGCCGTCCTGAGACCGATGGGCTGCCGTCCTGGGTCGGACGGCGTCCGGCTCCGACGGACCGCCGTCCTGAGACCGATGGGCTGCCGTCCTGGGTCGGACGGCGTCCTGCTCCGACGGACCGCCGTCCTGAGACCGATGGACTGCCGTCCTGTGACCGGCCGGCGTCCTGCTTCGACGGACCGCTGTCCTGATCCTGGGCCGGGCAGGAAGCAGAACGGCAGTCTGCCCGGCCCAGGACACAACAGAACGACGGTCTGCCGGGGCAAACAAGATGTCGGGACCACTGCCGAACGGCCCGTCGCTCTGAACACAGGAACGCCCGTGACAGCAATGCAGTCTTGACTGGGCTCGACTGGGCCAGGGAACTGGCCTTGCCAGTGCTGCCTGCTTCTCAGGTACAAAGTCGTGTACAAAGCTGGCGGCATAGGAGTTGCGGGAGAACCATGGCCACGGCTGGTTTGGTTTGGGTCAAGGCCGGGCCCCAATTGTTTGATGTGGGTCCGACCGAGTCTCGATGTTCCGTGTGTATCAGGCCCGAGTCGCCATTGGTTAATGTTGAGCTTGCCTGTGACGGGATTGGTCGGTACAGACCAGGGTCGGATGCTGATTAGTTGGTGTAGATCGGGGCTCAAGTCGTTGACTGCGGCTGTCGACTCCAGGGCATATGGTGCTCACCTGTGGCACGGGGGGCAGATGCTGGGGGGTTACTAACACTAACACGATCAAAACCGATCGCTGACCGATTTCGCCACTGCGGACTTGTTGCGTTTGGCTGTGAATTTGGGCGGACTGGTCGCGGGCTGCGTGCTTTTATCGTGTAATCCTGCCATCGGTGTGTTTTTTTAACTTCGCCACGTTCACCTCACCGGAAGGTGAAATACATCTGATGCAGCCCGAGCAAAACCATCTGTTCTCATGTTCGCGTCTAGGTACGGTGGACAGCAATTTGAGACACCTTTGATATCAGCGTAAGATATCCCTTCGCATACACAGTACAATATAGTTTATACACAGCGCTGGGAAGGCGGGTGGGCGTAATAGGTCTGACCGCCGGACGGGCGGACGGTCTGGCTTTGAGCAGCCGGGCCTCGAGCACTGACACCAATTCAACATCGCAGGGGTGTGGTTTCCTATCTAGCTGAGGGGCTTCAACCCCCCCCCCCCTCCCCCACTTAGATTCCAGCCCCTCCCTCCCCCCACACTTTGAATGGAAAGAGTCGAACCCGGGAGAACCCCGCTTGTTTCGGCGAATTTTGGAGGGTAGGTTTCATGGCTTTACGATTCAGCCCCCAATTCACTGCGAAACTGCGTCCCCGCAATGGCATGAACATGGTTGCCATTTTGGTGCAAATATTCGGCGGTGTTCTGCCTCCGGTTTTATTTTTGGGTGAAAAATGCGTAATATTTGACGTTCGAGAGTAAATATAATCTGTGCCATTGCGTTTCAGAATTGTTTCCCAACTTTCAGTCATCAGGTGACTGCTGTAACTTTCGTACGTTATTCCTTCACATTCTTTTGGTTACGTCAACGGAGCAATAATCAGCGTGCGAGATACAAACTCAGCAAAAAACTTTGCACCGAGTTCCAATCAAGGCACAGTCGCGCTGCCTATGGTATTGACCTGGACGTATGCAAATTGGAGAGGAGTACTCTCGTCCCATCCAGTTTTATTCATGTTTTTCATCTGAGCTCAGTTCATATAAAAAAAAACAGCCGTTCGCAGGTTTCCAGCGGACATCACCATCAGCCGCTGACCGAGATCAAGCGGGGATCGGGTGGAGATTGAGCTGATGACAGCAGAGATTGGGCCAAGAACGGGCCGAGATTGGGCTGATGACCGGGAGAGATTGGGCCGGGAACGGGCCAAGATGACGGGAGATTGAGCAGAGATCGGGTCTCTGCCAGTGCCCCCCGGTGGCGGGGGTGACGTGCTCCGGCCACCCCCGCGCCGGCGTAGGGCCGCGCCCGAGGCGGCGCCTTCCGGCGACCGGTGTCTCTGGCCGGCGGCCAGACGGGGCACGCCAAATAACCTCTCTTAAAGCGACTCCGCCCCATCAGCCGCCACTCAATGGGCCCCGGCTGCGGTGACCGGGCCCGGGCTGGGGCCGATACGGCTCTGTATGTGTGGCCAGGGCCGATCCGCGGCCGGTGATCGGCGCCTGGGCGGCCGCTTTTGGGTCTGGTGTGCCGGTCCTTTGGGTCTGGTCCGCCGGTCTTGGCTGTGTCGGCCGCCCCCACTCGCTTTGGACACTCCCTCATTTCATGCAGGGCAGGTTGGCACGGCTGGAGCTCGGCAGGTTCCTGCACATATCAATGAGGCTCTGAGGTAGGTAGAATATGATGAGGCATGGCTCACTGTCGCAACATGTACCATTACCGCTTTTCATTATTAAAATTCGTTACCATTGCTGGCGCCCGGCAAAAGGCGCTAGGCGTATGTGGCGGTGATCGCATGGGAGATGATAGGCGGATCAGTCTCGGCAGATGTTCAGTCGACCCCAGCGGCGGCGCAGAGGCGGCGCAGAGGCGGCGCTCGCCTCGCCCCAGCGGCGGCGCAGAGGCGGTGCTCGCCTCGCCCCAGCGGCGGCGCGGAGGCGGCGCTCGCCTCGCCCCAACGGCGGCGCAGAGGCGACGCTCGCCTCGCCCCAACGGCGGCGGAGAGAGGCGCTCGCCTCGCCCTGGCGGCGGCGCAGAGGCAGCGCTCGCCTCGACCCAGCGGCGGCGCAGAGAGGCGGCGCTCGCCTCGCGCACTGCCCGTTCTCGCCCCGAGTGTAGTGGACGGTTTCTACCTGCCCAACGACGGGCATCAACCACTTAACCAACATCGTTTTGCTCATTTGGACGCTCTGTGAATGCTGCGCGTGATGACGATTGTCTGGAACACGACAGGCTTCACCAGAGCTTCGAATGGTTACTTGAGACTTGGATTAGTTAACTGCCTATAATACTTTTCAGCGCTAGCCGCCCAACTTCTTTCTATTGTAATGCTGCAATTTGTTACTTGGTACATTAATCGACACCAACGTGAATTCAATCACAAATGTCGCGCGCGATTTGATGAGAATGTGTTGATTTATATGGTGGTGGACTTATTCCATGCTGGTCGCGGCGATAGCATTGCCGCTCCGTACCTCGTTGAACATTGACCTCAGGTGGCCTTTATCCTGCCGGACACTGAAGCTGGACTTCCCCTGTCGGTGAAGGCCTCCCGGTGCAGCGATACGGCGGCCGGCCAGCCGCAGTCCCGTGACTGACGCGCAACCACTCACGTGAGCACGACAGCAGGCCTTTGTCCCAGTTTATTCCAGTTCACGCACGTTCACAAACCACACCCGACGGCCAGCGCAGCGTTTCCTCGAGCCATCATCAGCACATCGCGCGAGGCGGAGCCGGGCGAGCCGTGCGCTGAGGCGGCAGCCCCGGCAAAAGCCTGGCGGGCTCCGGCGGCGCCCGGCCAGCCGACACTGGCTCGGCCGACGCCCTATGGTAGAATCTATCACAGGCTGGCGGCGGCAGAGCGGCTGGGACCGAAGCGGAGACGGGGAGAAGGACCGCGCTCGCGCCTGGGTGCATAGGCGCCCTCTGTGAGCAAGCGCAGTGCAGGGAGAGCACAGGCGGACTGTGGGAGACAGGTTGCTGAAGTCTCGGCCTCCCGGGAGCCCGGCAGCCGTCAGCACCACCATCCTCAACGGACCTGACCCGGCCAGTCCCGGCGAACCTTGGCAAGAGAGGAGACACTGCCCACGGGGCACCAGACGCGGTATCCGGGGACTCGGGCCGCTCCCAGCTCCCGTGCGCACACTGGGACTGGCGCACGTTCGGCCGGATGTGTGAGGTGGCATTTAAAAGAGGGCACCGCGGGCTAACGCCAATATCAGACGAGGCCCGGAGAAGGCAGTCACCGGCCAGGCGACCTCCAGCCGAGCCGCGCGATGACCACTCTTTCGCAGCGCTGGCACACCGCTGGCCTTCGGCGCCGAGCTTCCGGGAAGGCGGTCGCGCTGACCGGGTCGGCGGAGCGAGGACGGGCGCTGCAACGGCTATCACGCCGGGGGATAACTTGGAAGCCAATAAAGCTGGAAATATAAATCCAACAAAAAGTGACGCTGCTTGCGGGAGTCTACAGCCGAGATTGCGACGGCGGCGACATTGGAAATGTCGATCACGTGCCCTAGGGTCGCGGACTTAAGCTTTGTACAAGGATGTTAAGTTTAGGTTCAGTTGTACTTCTGAATTGTTCGAGTAATAAAACCGGCTTGCCTGCAAGATACCTTGGAAATGGAACTCATTTAATTATCTGTAAAAAGCTCGATAAACTATGCAATCAAAATATACTTAACACGCATAAACGTATGTTGATGGGAAATGCAAAAGAGCTGTTTTGATGTGGAGAAGATACATAGTTTAATAAATTTTGAAGCTAAAACCGCGAAGTAAAATCACGTAAGCAAAGCAATTATAATGCATGTGTTCAGCTTCGGGTAAGATGCATGAGACAGGATGTTACGGATGCCAACAATTCTGAATCGCATTGAAGGAAATCGATGCAGCCATCAGAGTCCATTAATCATCGCGGGGAATGAATTACCGCACATATGGAAGCCAATCACAGTCATAATCTAGCCGCATGCCTCGCGGGAAAAACTCAGCAACGTACGAGTAATTAGCGTAGCAATATCAGACATATCAAACGAAATGTAAAAATTCTGAACGTATGCAGTACACATTGCATCATGCTACCATGACACAGACGTGTAAAGATGGAAAACCGAGGGTGAGTGAACGACAGAGAATGCATGTACATATATGTCAATGACAAAAGTCAAGTATAACGCATATAGTTGCCTCGACAGAGTTGCTCACTGTCTACAGAAGACCGCCGCAGATTAACAATCAATACAACACTCCCAATCCACGGTGTCACCTGCCAACGGATGATATAGATTTAAGCTAGCAGGCAGTCACTGTCCGCCGTCGTCTCGCTGGCACGCATGTGCCACGCGTCCGCCATTACCGCCTCGGAGAATATGCTGTTAAAATGTTATGCACCTCATCTGGCATTCGCAGCAGGCACGTGGATCATCATTCCGCTATTGTCAGCCCAGCTCAACGTGAGCACGTTTTCACAGACAACGCACGTGGTGGAATGTTGACGTCTCCATCCGGCCGTGCCGCCCATCCAACCGGCACAGCTGGCTCGCCCGCAGACCCCGGCGCGCCGAAAAGCCGGAGCAGCAGCCGGCCAGGCCGGGCGTCACGCTCAAAGGCCGTAGGTGTGCCTGGCTCCAGCGTGCTCCCAGCTGCCTAGCGCGTCGGTGGCGTCGCCGGCGCGCAAGGATCCCACCTCGACGGCGGCCGAGCCGCGGCGCACACCGATTCGCCACGGCTCGCGACAGGCTCGCGGCCACTGCACCGTCCAGGTCAGCGTGGAGGTCGCAGAGGTGACCTAGACCGACGGCCGTGACCTGACAGCCGGGGCTCACAGACCGGCCCAGAGGTGACCTAGACCGACGGCCGTGACCTGACAGCCGAGGCTTACAGGCCGGCCCAGAGCTGACCTAGACCGACGGCCGTGACCTGACAGCCGAGGCTCACAGGCCGGCCCAGAGCTGACCTGGACCGACGGCCGTGACCTGACAGCCGAGGCTCACAGGCCGGCCCAGAGGTGACCTGGACCGACGTCCGTGACCTGACAGCCGGGGCTCACAGACCGGCCCAGAGGTGACCTGGACCGACGTCCTGACCTGCCGAGGCCTCACAGACCGTCCCAGTGACCGGGCTCACAGACCGGCCCAGAGGTGACCTAGACCGACGGCCGTGACCTGACAGCCGGGGCTCACAGGCCGGCCCAGAGGTGACCCGGACCGACGGCCGTGACCTGACAGCCGGGGCTCACAGACCGGCCCGGAGGAAGCCTACAACAGCTGACGCCAACTGACGCCAGCTGAGATCAGCATCTGCCGAAACTTACAAAGGCGATCTGCTGCGATAGAAATTTACGAGCGGCTGGTGCGTCGGCGTGTACGGCAGCGGGGCAAACCGCGCGTGCGCGGCACGACGGTGGACTGCCTGTTGATAGGTCACTTCAGCGCCGCTCGATTTCCCGGCCAGGGTGTCGCGGCGCCAGCAGCCACCTCAGCCGTCGTTTGACGTCAGCTGGTAATGTGGGGCCCGCGCCAGGCGGCGACCTGCAGCTGGCCTCGTAGCGGCGGAAAGGGGCGGGTCGCGGGACTAGATATAGCCAGCACAGCTGTTCGGCCCCTCGCCGGGCCGCGCCGGTGGTGGTGGGGGGGGGGGGGGGGGGGAAGGGGGCGACCAATCGGCACCAACTTTCCAGCAGTGACCAGCCGAACTTTGCACGATTCGCTAAGGCGGACAAGTGCGGCGATAGTTAGGTGGACTGAGGCCGAAAATGGACCGGCCGGGTGAGGGTGCAGCGGAGCCTGCGAAGATGGAGTTGGCCGCACTTCCCACATCAGGCCAGCACGACCGTCTAATTCCGGAACACAATGGGTGAGGATGTCGAGCAGGACTGATTATGAAATCCAAACAACGGGACATGAGACAAAGTTCAACAGAAGTCATTACGAAGACATTAGTCCCGCTTTATTCCCGCTGAAATTTCAAATACGTTCCCTGCCGACTAATTACATAAGCCTCGCCAAGGCTTCGGTGCGGCTTCCGCTGCCTTTGCGTGCCCGCGGTCCTCTGGGACCGGCTTCCGAGTCCCCAGAAGCATTACGAGAAATGAAGTCCGCGGTGGCGCTCAGCAAGAGCCAGCTGAGGGCCATCGGCACCAGCTGGCCGCCTTTTAACACCAGATGAGCCGGGCTTACATCCGACGCCGACCAGGCTTACACCCGACGCCGACCACCGCTGGTGCAGAGTGAGACAATATCCAACCCCCGCCGCTCTCAACATCAGGCGACACGCTCGCCCAGACGGCGATAACAAACACACCTCGTCCACAAGCACGCGCCCACGCTCAGTCCGCGCCCATGCCGGGACCGTCTCGACTCCGTCGGCGGTGCAGCGCCTGTCGGCCGGCTCGCCGTTGCCCGTCTCGGCCTTGGGACACCCCGACAGCACCTCAGTCTGGCCCCACATGGGAACGAGCCGGGCCGAAGCCAACATCGAACGCACAACAACGACAGGGCGGGCCGGCCGGCCGGAGGTCACGTGACGGCGGCCGATGCGAAAACACGGCCTCCGGTGCCGACCCACGTGGCCGGCTGAGCTGGCCGGCGCCGGGGCGCCGCTCGGTCGGCGTGGTCTGGGGTCAGGTCGCCGCCGCGTCAGGAGCCACGACCCCCGGAGTCGACAGCAGCAGACGGCGTCCGCAGGCACGTGCAGCATCACGTGAGGTTCGCCCACAGCTCATCTCTACTTGCACGGCGAGCCGTGGTTCATCAGAACCCGCACGAACTCTGCCGGGCCGAGGTGAGGTCAGACATCGCACTGGGGGAGGGGGAGCTGAGGTCAGTGGCCGGATCGCGAGGGAGTTGAGGTCAGTCACTGGACTGAGGGAGAGGGAAGGTGTGGTCAGGTGCCGATCACGGGAGAGCTGGGGGTGGGGGTGGGGGTGGGTGGGGAGGGTCAGTCACTGAACTGAGAGGGGAAGGTATGGTCAGGTGCCGATCACGGGAGAGCTGGGGGGGGGGGGGGGTCAGTCACTGAAATGAGAGGGGAGATATGATCAGGTGCCGATCACGGGAGAGCTGGGGTCAGTCACTGAACTGAGAGGGGAGGTAGTGGTCAGGTGCCGATCAAGGAAGAGCTGGGGTCAGTCACTGGACTGAGGGGAGAGGTGTGGTCAGCTGCCGGATTGCGGGAGTTGAAGTCAGTCTTGGGGACTGGCGAGCTCTGGACTGGCCACTAGACTGGGACGGGGGTAGACACAGGACTGAGGATAGTCATGCACCCGTGGTGCATCCTGGGATGGGAAATCATTCGTGGGGCACAACCTGTTTTTGACCAGGAGGGGATTGAGATGGGCACGACTTTTAAACGGGTATGGACAATTTACAGCTCTCGTTACATGAATATGCAGTTTAACCTTCATGCGTCTAATTTTTTTTTCTCCAACCAGATCCACAGCCAAAACGTCTGCACAGATTGCCGTGAAATCAGCCCACTATGATGGGTCCGGCCGTTGTGTGACGATCCAGATACATTCGAGACTGTCCGCTTGTCGGTGTCGGGTCACTGTGCACACGAGAGGAGAGCGTATTCGCACTTCTCAAAGGGACACTTTCGCGCACATTTACGGGAAACAATATGCCTTAGGGCCATGCCGGTGGAAACATAATACAAAGCTCGAGCAGCGATAAATTTAGAGTCCCAAACGCACCGCGAATCTTAGTGACACAAACTGAAAAGCTCAGAAAAAACTAATCATAACCCGTTGCCCATCACTGATACGCCAATCATGTCATGCAGATCAAGCGGTGCTATCGCGACACCGACGACATCCGCTCTCTCTGTATATATATATATATATATATATATATATATATATATATATATATATATATATATGTATACATATATCAGTATCTATCGCTGCGCGGGTAGTGTGCCTACGCGATCCGTGGGTATTGGACAGCTTATAATCCACAACATCCATTACATAACATTATTGGAACACACTTTCAAACTATTTGAGACGTGAGTGAGTGTTACCGCCACGTGTGGCGTTCCTACCGGCGCCAGCGGTATCACCTCTTCGCACCCTGGAGCGGACGGAGCGTGCGTCTTGTCTTACGCGGAACGGGCAGTTATTGTCAAACATTATTGGAATTTGTGACGCCGTAAGCCGATAAAGAGGGACAACAGCTATTTTAAAGTCAATCTGTGCGAACGAGGTCATTGGTGCGACGCGTTGCCATGAAAAGCTGGAACACGGGGTGATCTGGGCACAGGGGTAATGTTGACCTGCAAAGCAAGGAGTAATGTAGATGATCTTTAAGGAAAGCACTGAGGCCGAAGGGTAGTAGGGAGAGGGGCGTGCATAGGCCCCTCGGCCCTTTTTACAATTAACTCTCCCCAGGTAGCCAAATCCAACCTTCAAAACTTCAGTCATAAACAACCACCATTTTGCCTCTTCTGCGAGTTAAAATACGCTCTAGTTTAATTCATCAAAGAAACATATTCTGAAGCCTAACCCATGTGTATAAATCCATTACGCTCTAGACCAGCTTAACATGCGAGGTCTAATGTGGCATATGATGGGTACATCAACGGTTACTTATAGAATCAAATAGAACTCTTACAAGCACGCGTCCTAGTCCATGTGAGGGTGACCAATTTTTCAATCCAACCTAATTATAAGTTGTTTCACTTGAGGCCTTTACGGTTCACTTTATTCTTTATTCCAATTATCAGTTTCAAACAAGAGTTGGTTCTGGTTCTACGTCTATGTTTAAGTCCAAATAAACATAACGGGCACAACTTCACCTATATTTACTGACCGCAGGGTGTTGGGCCAAGCTGCTCTCAAAAGTGCGTCGGGGCTAAACTTGACGATATCACCACAGCAAGATAAACAAACACCTCCACACAATGTACACCTCACCTTCATTAATTTATCTTGCCATTGCCGTTCTTATCGGCTTCTCGGATCATGTCGTCCACCTCGTCGTTGCTCATCTTCTCCCCCATGGAGGTCATGATGTGCCGCAGCTCACCAACGGTCAGCAGGCCGTCCTCGTCCTTGTCAAACACCCTGGACCAGAGGAAATGACTGACTGCAGAAGCCGCACTGGACTCGTCACCACGCCATTCGTCCCACCACACCGCACGCGAGGTGGGACCGTGTCTCATGTGTGCGGGGAACACGAGGATTGGTGCCTCCAGCCCTGACCTGTGCGGGTGACCTGGCGGCTCGGTGCCTCCAGCCCTGACCTGTGCGGGTGACCAGGCGGCTCGGTGCCTCCAGTCCTGACCTGTTCGGGGGAACACGCGGCTTGGTGCCTCCAGTCGTGATCCGTTCGCGATTTGGCTTAAGCATCTGCAGCGTTGGTAATATGTTAGCATTAGCTATGTGTTGTTGCGCCCGCATGCGCAGGAATAAGGGAATAAAAACGTTAACGCTGTCCCATATTTTGTGATTCCTGTGGGCACGCATTTTAATCATGAAACCCGCGCAACGGATCCGTCACGCGGTAGCCGCTAGGGGGAGACATCTGATGCCTGCCATTTTGGAAACACGCCATCCATGTTTGCCGTCAATTTCTTCACCTCACATTTTTTGGCGTAGGACGCACAGAATCTATGAGAGTGCCTCGTCACTGGGGCTTTACGACGACCTCAGCTGCTGAGGCTGTGTGGCGTCGCCTGCCACTCACACTGGCAGGAAGTGGAAGGCACCCGCGAGGAATCGAACCCCGTAACTCAGGTTTTCCAGACGCGCAGTGGTTAAGGCAGCGTTCACCACTACGTTATGGGAACCCCTTTGAGAGTGTCTAGACCTGAGGAAAATAAGCGCTGATTATTCCAGGATTTTCGTACTGCATGCTGAAGGCAAGTACGTGAGAACCCGCTCATAGCACATTTTGAGGTCAAGTAGGATCGTTAAAGAACCGCATCGCTTAATAAGAGGTGAGAAATGACCATTTTGTATGCATGGAATTTCTACTTAATCCCATACACGAAAAGTAGCTGCAGTAATAGTCTCTCTGCCAGTGAAGCTCCCATTCTTCAGAGGCATTCAGAACCACACAGAGTTACAAAGTCACACAGAGTTACACGACCTTACAAGCCATCGAAGGAAAACTTTTTGAACTCACCCATTGGTCGATTTGGAGAGACCCTCAAAGCTGCACAAGCGTAGTAACCAAGCCACTTTGGCTCTCCTAGCAGCATGTTATATATTTCTACGTAAGCAGTTCGCGGTATTGACATTGCAGGGTATCACATGGACGTGTAAGGATGGCAGCTCGACTGATAGCTATGTTAGCTGTGGTGAGCTCGCTGTCGTTTTGGTGCTAGACCAATCCGGACCGGCGGCTAGCCCATTCCGGACCGGCAGCTACACCAATGCGGACCGGCGGCTAGACCAATGGGGACCGGCGGCTAGCCCAGTCCGGACAGGCGGCTAGCCCAGTCCGGACCGACGGCTAGACCAATCCGGACCGGCGGCTAGATCAATGCGGACCGGCGGCTAGTCGGATAGCTGTGGGTTCAAGTTATTAGCTAATAAGCTCATAATGAATGTATAGTCTCAGATTTGGTTTCACTCTCGGGTTTCAGTGAAAACGTATTTGCTTAACACATAATGGCCTGAAATCAAGTTATGTTTACCTACCCCGGGATCCTCGGAGGAGAGTCAATTTCCCAAGATTTTGCCGGACAGTGTGGTGACCTGAGCGTTGCCCGGGTAGCATCTCGCTTCACTCTGAAAGTAGTAAATCTAAGGAAACAGCAATGAGATATCGTAGCAATTCTGAATTTGTTCCTACAATACAATATGGCGCTGTTCTCATTCTTGTAATAATGTTTACACTAGTCCTAGACGTCTGGTGGCGTTCTGATAGGACATATAATCATGTGGCGTGTTTCAAGCACGCATAATAAATTACGTGTGGTAAGAAATAGCCCCAGCGTATTTACTAAATCTAGCGCCAACCAGAATCTGCAAGTCATGGCCGAATGGATAACGGGGTGAATCTATAGACGTCCCAAATCCACGGCTCGAACCTGTGCAAATATATTTTTCGGTAGTTTTTAACTCCCGTGGTCAACTAGACGGATCGGTGGGCGCCTCCCCGCGGCTAGACGATCGATCAGTGGCTAACCAGCTAGCCGACTGGCCAAAAACCAGCCTTCTTTTAAAATGGTCATCAAGCAACGATGCATCGCCGAAGACAAAGGATTTGTCCGTACACGAATTTCACCAATTTCATTTCCATATTTCCCACCACATACACATGAATAATGCAGCAAATGAGTGATGAGCCCTACGGCTGGCCACTGTATACACATTCGTCTGCTCGTGGGTCTGGATATGACCAGCCATGACCAGTTTCCGCCATCAAACTTTCAGCCCGGCGGGAGAACCGGAAGCGACTTTGTAGCTGCTTCTGCTGCAGAAACCCCGGAGCTGATTTGACCACTAAACCAAATCAGCGTCATCCAAGTTTACATCCCCAAGACGAAATGCCCACCCCCAGCACGCGTTGCGACAACCACGAAACTACGGACGGAAAGCCAACGGGAGCAGTTCCAGGAATCTCGTCCACCTGTTTCCGACTTGCAACATTTGTGAGCATCTGAGAAAGGCGGCGAGCACACACCGAGTCCGCATCGACCCAGCAGAAGGATTCACCATGGCCCGGTTCGACAATCGATCTCGCTCCGGACACCTGTTGCCCCCCGGGCCTGGACACGGCTGCTCGCGTGTCCACTCCGCGGACAACGTGGCGTCGCCTCCGGCAGCACGCCCGCGGCTACTAATGACGTCCAGGAAGTGACGTCATCCCGGCGCGATTCAGCCGCCTTGGGCCGGCCGCCGCCGGTCCATGACGTAAGGAGCTCTCCACCACGACAGCGCTGCGAGCTGACGTCCAGCGAGCTCGTAAGATATACCAAAATCCGACTCACTGAATGAAAGGGTTCCAGATTCTCAGTTGCTCTGGGGAACAATGGAATCATTCAGAGCACGGGGTAACTCTCGGCTTCACTCTGCCGATTGAACCGGTGCACCGGTTCAGTTAAGTTCAGTTCAGTTCAGTTCTGTAAAACACACTCCACACCGCAGCGTGGACTGTGTTGAACTGTGATGGGCGTCGTATGATAGAAAATGTGTTTTACGCGTTAATCTCTTATCGTTGCATGAAAACAAAGGCTTTCCACTCGTTGATCTTTGTGTGACATATGGGAGAGTAGCGTTCCACATACTGCTCTGTTGCGTGCCGGTATGCTGGAAGGGGTGTTCCAGGTGATGATGTGGTAACATTTTCTAAAATTCTTCAACTAACCATATCAGTTTTCTTACTGGGTTAGGTGTCTGTGAAACGTATGGGTAAACACAAATAATATATTTGGTTACGTTCTAGAGGAAACGTAAAATCAGCTTGCAAGCGTTGGAACAGGTTTCGCTGGATTCATCGATATATACATGTACACACACACACACACACATATATGGAGATCGACGGGCAGCATTTCAGTTTTTGAAAAAAGCTTGAAAGGCATCATTTCATTACTTGTCTTATACTTATTTCAATAAAAGCAATTCATTCAGCGGTCAACGTTTACACTTGGAATACGTCTATGCATGAGGGCTATGTAAATGCGACTATGAATTTGTCAAAGAGTGCTACAATCTGTATGGGACTTCTCCTCAGATGACAGGAACGGCTCCCAAACTTTCCGAAATTTCGCATTGGACCTTGAGTGCTTGTGCTGTGAAGAAAGAGCTCTCGGCAGCCTTTTGTACCCTGATTTCAACTCTTGATCCATGGTGAGGTTTCTAGAAATATGCCGCTGAATGTGTCCAAGATCTGCGATAAACGGGTACGGCAGTACGAATTTGTAGTAGTGCTATGGTCAGGCAGGGCTGGGTCACCCAGCTGACAAGTAGTTCCGCCTGCCGAGGAAGGACTTGCTGGAAAACTGATCGATAACACACACAATGTTGGACAGTGCCACCGGCGAAAACTTCTAGGAACCAGTATGAGTGCATTGTTGCTGTCAATTGGAGATGCAGCTGCATTCCCATTACCTGAAAACGCGTGATATATATATATATATATATATATATATATATATATATATGTGTCAAAGATCCTCAAAGAGTAAGAATAACAGACAAGTAATGGCCAAAACATCAGTCCCTGTCGTACCTGTATCAACCTGTTAACGTTTCGCTACACTTGGGAATTATCAGCAGAGCAAAACAGTGAGGAAACAAGGCTACATTTAGCAAACATCGCTAGGCCATATCGCATAAATGGCGCGCGATAAGTAAGTTCATGATCATGGTTCGCACATCCAGTACCACGAGCACAACACTTATCTGCACCCAAACAGATGAGTTTGAAAAATGCATAATCACGCGATGAAATATCTTTTGTGCACCATTCAATATCATTGATCTATGCGTGACACTAGCTCTGACATTGAAAATTATTACAGCGAAATAGAAAAATACAGCAATTGTCTCCATCTTATATATTAAGATCACTTCATAGTCACCAAAAGAAGCGGAAAATTGAATATCATGTGTCTAGCACATCTTCCGTAAATTACTAGGCACTTTTTATCCGGAGCCTAAACGACCTTTGGCTGTGTGATTTCGTTTTTTTTTTTTCAACCTGACCTGTTTACGTGCAGATGAGTGTTGTGTCCGTTGTGTGAACCATGACCATCACCTCCTTTGAATTCAGGTTTTTCCTTTATAACTATATATATATATATATATGTATGCAGAAGGCAACATTTTAGTACAGTGGAGCGGGAGCCCAACCAAAAGTCACAACCACCACCACTAGGTCCGATGTACCACAGGGTCTGGTGTTCCACTGGGTCCGGTGTACCAGAGTCCGGTGTGCCACAGAGTCCAGTGTGCCATAGAGTCCGGTGTACCACAGGGTCCGCTGTGCCACAGAATCCGGTGTGCCAGAGTCCGACGTGCAACAATAACCGGTGTGCCACAGAGTCCCCTGTGCCACAGAGTCCGGTGTGCCACATAGTTCGGTGTGCCACAGTGTTCGCTTTGCTACAGGGCCCGGCGTGCCACGACAGGCTTCACGCCTGTGTCTCACTTTGTTTTCACGCATCGGTTGAATTCATCGACCTGCACACTAGACTACCGGTACCCATGACCTGGAATAACCTGGACGCCGACATCCCAACGTCGTGGTCGCGATCAGTGGGGGGGGGGGGGGGGGGGGAGTGTGAACCAGCGACAGGTGCCCCCCGCCCCCTGGCCAGGGAGAAGGTCCCCCGTGTCGTATCGGCTGTGGTCGCCGCTTCACGACACCCTGCTGAAGCGGACGAATGTTGACGGTGACGGTCATTGGCGCTTTGTCTCCGCTACGTCACAAGCCGTGATTTATACAGCTCCCGGCAGACAGACGACGTTTTGATGGGACTCAATCGCACATCTGTGAAAAACGATACATGCTAACACTTGATGTTAACATGATGAAGAGGGTAGTAGGTGACCCGATAGAAAGCAAAGGGCGTAGAGGTGAATTGGATGCATCCGTCATTATGCAAACACCATTTAGCTCACTTGAAGGCTTCTTTCAGTTCCTCTTCACTCTCCATGCCTGCCATCTTCTTAGCCATCATCTGTAAGAATTCGTTGAACTCTATTTGTCCCGTACCCTCTTGATCCACCGTTGATACCATTTTTTCTAGTTCAGTTTCTGTGAAAGGGAACACCCGAGTTGAGCCTTCTGCATCATCAGCAGGTAAGCTTGGTTTCACACGAGAAAGGCTCACGTAAAATCAACGATGATTGATGAGTCAAAACCTGCTACACGCACAACACATGCTACACGAGTACAACGTGCTCATACGCACGCGTACGTACAAAGCATGCTGCACGAGCGCCGTGAACTCCGATGTATTGGTTTATTTGGCTCTGTTCTGGGACACGTGACCATTGAGATATTTCCACAATCGTGTTCAATATTATTATTTTTTTAATGTTGGCAAGTGGCGATAACATGAGACGCCAATACAACAGACGGAGAGGTCAAAGTTCAACTGGACCAGACCAGCCGATCAATGCACAGATTTACCAATACTACAGGCGAAAAACATCAGGTTCACTCGGACCGGATTTTACGCTCATCAAAAATTAAACAGCCGCAGTGGCGTCGCAGCAAAAATGTCCAGCGCTCCTGAGGCTTCCCAGAGAATCCACTTTTGTCGCACTGCCATCGCAACGCGCCACGTATTGTGCATCGAGCAGCAGCACAGGCAGTCGAGGCAGACTATACATGATAACACCATCACGAAGCCCGGACACCTAGCACAGGTAGATGTTGGAGGGCAGTCAGACCAGTGGGAGAGGGCCCGATTGCGCCGAGTGTGCAGCTTCGCAGCTATCGCGGCCTCTCCCAGCGGCGCCCAACGGCTGTCCTGAGCAGGAGGCCGTCACGGCCGGCGGCCAGAGCGGACCAGCGGTCAACTGGAGGCCGTCACAGCCGGCGGCCAGCGCGAACCAGCGGTCAGCTGTTGGCTGCCCTGAGCAGGAGGCCGTCACGGCCGGCGGCCAGAGCGGACCAGCGGTCAACTGGAGGCCGTCACGGCCGGCGGCCAGAGCGGACCAGCGGTCAACTGGAGGCCGTCACGGCCGGCGGCCAGCGCGGACCAGAGGTCAGCCGTCGGCTGTCCTGAGCTGGAGGCCGTCGTGGCCGGCGGCCAGCGCGGACCAGCGGTCAGCTGTCGGGCGAGTCGGTACAGACGAGCTAAGTTACGACCCTCTAACGCCGACGCCGGCCCATGGCGAGCCCAAATCAAGGCCGAGGCTCACCGAGACGTATTGATGACGCCATTAGCCGGCTGATCAGGCGGCGCCGTCGACAAACGACCTGGCCAAAATGACGCACGGCGGCGGCTGCTAACGGCGGGGAGGGACACACGGTGGCGGCTGCTAACGGCGGGAACGGACACAGTGGCGGCTGCCAACGGCGGGAACGGACACAAGGCGGCGGCTGCTAACGGCGGGGAGGGACGCACGGCGGCGGCTGCTAACGGTGGAGAGGGACGCACAGTGGCGGCTGCTAGCGGTAGAAACGGACACAGCGGCGGCTGCCAACGGCGGGAAGGGACACAAGGCGGCGGCTGCTAACGGCGGAGAGGGACGCACGGCGGTGGCTGCTAACGGCGGAGAGGGACGTCATGAGACGGTCCTCAGCTCAGTTTAGCTCAGCTGCTCAGCTCAGCTCCTCAGCTCAGCTCGAGGCCGACCTGACGACACGTCAGACCGCGAAACAAAGGCGGGGCTCCACACTGCACCAGCTGGCCACAAGCCTGGTGCGGAGAGACGACTGTTGAAGCGCTGCTTTGCAGATTAGGGGAGCCGTCTAGACGACGGAAGTGGGCCATTCTGACGCAAATAACATTTAACTGCTGCCATCTTAACAAAGATCGGTTTTGGTTTAGGACGCTCTGCTCTCAGCTCAAGGTATGTCTCCCTCCCTCCACCAGACGCCACTTTTGATAGTAAACCTACTTGCTCGTGCAAATATCGACAGATATCTGCATCACCGTCCGATAAGCATGAATATTTCAGAAAAAAATACCGCCTTTTATCTCTGTTGAGTGCTTGTAACTCTGCCTTGTGCTCTCAGAGCGTCTCTAAATAAAGCGCCGTTCCAGAGAACAGGGTCCAATCAGGAAACATCAGTGTTTGAACTAGCACCGCTTTACGCCCATAAATGAGAGCTAAAGTACGGCCTGAGCTCGAGGTCTGGTTTATGTCCAGGTCTATGAATAGCCGAACTGGGGTCAGCTGCCCAATGCCCATATAGTCTCATGGATGCCTCAGAAACCCACAACGGGATCAATGTTAGTGATTCCAACTCACTTCGCACAGCGATTCTGACAAGCGATCAAAGTGGAGCAATAATCAAATATTTTTGACAAAGTATTATCCATCCACCACTTACAGAGCGCCCATACATCAGTTAGAGTAGACCGAGAACGCGAAGAATACCTCTCACGCAGATGTACTCTTGTGAACTTGTCCGCTGCGACGTTGGTCACACTGACGGTATACGTCCGAACTGATGTCCAGCGTACGCCGGTCACAGCGTGATGTCCAGCATAAACCGGTCGCAGTGTTACGTCCAGAGCGCGCCGGTCACAGCGTGACGTCCAGCGTAGGCCGGTCACAGCGTGACGACCAGCGTGGGCCAGTCACAGTGTGACGACCAGCGTGCGCCGGTCACGGCGTGACGTCCAGCGTAGGCCGGTCACAGCGTGACGACCAGCGTGTGCCGGTCACAGCGTGACGTCCAGCGTAGGCCGGTCACAGCGTGACGACCAGCGTGTGCCGGTCACAGCGTGACGTCCAGCGTAGGCCGGTCACAGCGTGACGTCCAGCGTAGGCCGGTCACAGCGTGACGTCCAGCGCAGGCCGGTCACAGCGTGACGTCCAGCGTGCGCCGGTCACAGCGTGACGTCCAGCGTAGGCCGGTCACAGCGTGACGTCCAGCGCAGGCCGGTCACAGCGTGACGTCCAGCGTGCGCCGGTCACAGCGTGACGTCCAGCGTAGGCCGGTCACAGCGTGACGTCCAGCGTGTGCCGGTCACAGCGTGACGTCCAGCGTAGGCCGGTCACAGCGTGACGTCCAGCGTGCGCCGGTCACAGCGTGACGTCCAGCGTACCGGTCACAGCGTGACGTCCAGAGTGCGCCGGTCACAGCGTGACGTCCAGCTGTAGGCCGGTCACAGCGTGACGTCCCGCGTAGGCCGGTCACAGCGTGACGTCCAGCGTGTGCCGGTCACAGCGTGACGTCCAGCGTAGGCCGGTCACAGCGTGACGTCCAGCGTGCGCCGGTCACAGCGTGACGTCCAGCGTTAGCCGCGGTCACAGCGTGACGTCCAGCGTAGCGCCGGTCACAGCGTGACGACCAGCGTGCGCCGGTCAACAAGCGTGACCGTCCCAGCGTAGGCCGGTCACAAAGCGTGACGACCAGCGTGCGCCGGTCACAGCGTGACGTCCAGCGTGCGCCGGTCACAGCGTGACGTCCAGCGTAGGCCGGTCACAGCGTGACGACCAGCGTGCGCCGGTCACAGCGTGACGACCAGTCGTGCGCCGGTTCACAGCGTGACGACCAGCGTGGCCGGTCACAGCGTGACGTCCAGCGTAGGCCGGTCACAGCGTGACGCCACGGAGGCCCGAGCGTGACGACCAGCGTGGACGTCCAGTCACGTAAGCGTGACACAGCCGGTGACGGGTCCAGCGTAGCCAGGTGGCAGGCACAGCGTGACGACCCAGCGTGCGCCAGTCACAGCGTGACGACCAGCGTGCGCCGGTCACAGCGTGACGACCAGCGTGTGCCGGTCACAGCGTGACGACCAGCGTGCGCCGGTCACAGCGTGACGACCAGCGTGCGCCGGTCACAGCGTGACGACCAGCGTGCGCCGGTCACAGCGTGACGACCAGCGTGCGCCGGTCACAGCCGTGACGTCCAGCATACGCCGGTCCACGGCGTAACGTCCAGCATTGCGCGGGTTCACGGCGTGATTGCTCCAGACCAATTTGTAACGTCAATAAGAGTTCAAGACCAACACGTGACCTCAGCCAGCCAGGAAAGGAGCTCCAGGGCATCAGTGACGGTCGGCTGCCCCGTGCAGCGCCCATTGCAGCACTGCTGCAAAACCCATGGCAGAGGCTTCACACTGCAGCACCGCTGGAGAACCCTCTGCAGAAGCTTCACTCTGCAGCACTGCTGCAGAACCCACGACAGAGACTTCTCCCATTAGAGGACAGCGGCACTATCTTCTGGCGCATCAAATCCCTGTTTGTATAGCACACATTCTGCTAAGCCTCGCCCATGGTATAAACGCAATCCTGCTGCTAATGCAAACGCAATCAAGTCGTCGGCAACGACTCAAAGTCAATTTTGCAGAGCTTCATTAACAAGATGATCGTGGTCACGTGGTTACAGCATCGATTCCCTATCCCTGCCAGTCAACTGCGGTCCTAACGAGACATTTGATCCAAGGCAAATGCGGCCTGTGTGCCCGTTTACGGCTGATCGCCCCACTACCGCGCGCTGCACCGGCCTGTATATCGGTTCACTTTCACCGTGATCGTGTTCTTTGCAAGTGGACTCCATCGCTTGTTTAAATGTCGTACAGGTTTATGTAAAGGGCTCTATGAATGACTCATTTTGAGTTTCGATAATATCCCCGCAACACGGAGCACCAGTTTTACGTGAGCTTCCTCAGTTGTCGGCATTCTTAGTCGGAGTAATTTGCCCAGCAGTGGCCTCAGCACGCTGCTGACCACTGGCGGACCCCTGACCAGCAAACCCCCTGACCAGCGCTGGCCCGAGACCGGCGGTCCTCGGCTCACCTGTCGGCCGCTGGCCCAGCGTCTTCATCATGACGCCCAGCTCGTTCATGTTGATCACCCCATCCTCGTCCTTGTCGAACAGCATGAACGCCTCCTTGAACTCTGCAACGGCGGCAGAGCGGCGGCGGTCGGCTGCGTGTCCCCGGCGCCAGAGGGGGGGGGGGGGGGGGGGGAGGGACCGCCAACCGACCAGCCGTGAACGACGGATGTCCTTCATCGGCTGGCGCCCGAAATACCCGGAACGGCGGCGCCCGGCCGGCAGCAGGGGGGCCGTCGACGCCGATGAATCGTCGTCGACGAGACGCGACGACCGGCCTGCGTTCGTCTGCCATTGGGACGGTGCCACCACGGCTAACGCTGAGCCACGGCGACAATGCGGTCGGCGCACGGGTGAAATTGGCGGACGCCACCAAGCGGCACGAGAGGGCGCGGGCGACGACGATGCATTACCGCTTTCAGCGTTACTTACGTCAATAAGACCGTCAGAAAACGAATGGAATGCGAACAACGTACACATTTTTAAACCCTCTGAGATGAGGGCCTCACAGCGCAGACGAGGCAGTTTGGTCTGGATTATTATCACTTTGAAGTTAAAGCATTATGAACGATGCAATTACATGTCGAGCTAGAACGCAAAACCACTTCTAGTCGCCGCGTCCGCGGTTTACGACGGTGGGCGGTACTAGAATATAAACAGACTGCGCACTGGGGTGTAGCATATCTTTTCCATAGTAAGCACCCTCGTTTACAAAAAGATTCCAGTTAAACAGGGTCCCAAACGAATAGGAATTCATGGCGGTAGAATTGCAAAGGGGCTTTCGGGAAGTCTGCACCTGCACAAAACTCCGGCACTGGGAAAATAAATAACGAAAGCAACACTGTTCACCTGCGATGACTTGTCCCAAACGAGATCAAACTAGTTTGTGGACCGCCTAGCCAAAATAACCACAAAGGGCAATCACAGTTCGGGTCCATGATCTTTCAAATCTGTTTACATTAGTGAGCCGTTGTCCCCCGTATCTAGTGGTTATCAACATTACTTACATAATCCAGAGCTGTGCCGGCTCAGAGGCCGGTGATTGCTGTGATCTGTGAGTGACCGGTGTCGAGGGAAACCAAGTCGCCGGGCGACAGGGTAATATCGTGCCTGCTTAGTCCATCTGTCATAGCAAAAACCTGAGGAGGATCTGAGGGCGCCCGGCCGGCGCTGACGCGTGTAATTGCATTCAGTTCTCAGAGCTGGCTGTTCGCAGCCATCCACAGGCCATCTGAAACAGTCGGCAGAGCGGACCCGGCAACGTGGCTGCGGTCTTCTTGTCGTCCGCGACGTAACAACACGGCTCAAGGTAGTCTGGGCCAGAACTGGGACCACACAACGGCTTCAGACGGTCCGGGCCAGGACTGGACTGGTGCCAGACAGCAGTGCGTCCTGCTTGGCCCAGTCAGCCTGGGTCAGCCCGCTGATCCAGACAGCGATGTGTCCTGCTTGACCCAGTCAGCTTAGGTCAGCCGCTGATCCCATCACGTGACGTTCATGATCCGGCCAGCAGTGAGCGCCAGCGGTGGCGAGCCTAACTACCAGCGAGAGGGCCGTCGAGGCCCCGATCGCAGCCCGGTCATTCACAAACTTGCGGCTAAGGCCGGCTGGGTCAGCCGGCTGGGCCGTAACGATGCCCCTTGGGGGCCGTCTCTCTGTTCGGGGCCCCGGGGCCAGGTGGTAGCCAGGATACCACTCGGGGGCCATTTCTTTCTCCCGGGGCCCCGGGGCCAGGTGGTAGCCAGGATACCTCTCGGGGACCATCTCTCTCTCCCGGGCCCCGGGACCAGGTGGTAGCCAGGATACCACTCGGGGGCCATCTCTCTCTCCCGGGGCCCCGGGGCCAGGTGGTAGCCAGGATACCACTCGGGGGCCATCTCTCTCTCCCGGGGCCCCGGGGCCAGGTGGTAGTCAGGTGCGCCGGTCAGGAGCCAGTCCTGCCCGCATCCAGACGCCGGGCCGCAGCAGGACGGCTCGGACCGCCAGATCGGCGCACTCTCAGCTGTTGGGAACTTGAGTTGGTCCTCTGGCGGCGCGTCTTATCGTGATGCGTCCTCGTGACGCCACCCTCAACCGCTGCCTCCCGGCGATCGGTGGCAGGCGGCTGAGTCAGGCGGAGGGGGGGGGGGGGGGGGGGGGGGGGGGAGGGAGGGGCGGAGTGGCCGCAGTGGCCGCGGCGCTGACAGCGAGTGACGCACCGCTGGCGGCAGCCCCAATTAGTGCCGCACAGCCCCCGCCTCCGTCGCGTGGCAGCGAGCGACGCACCTGGCCGTCAGCTCCTCCGAGGACGGCGCCGACAGCTGGGCGAGATGAGGACAGGCCAACACACGCGGGGGCTCGAGGTGAGCGAAGTTACTCCGTTGCAGCGGAATACCGCTGGCGCGCTTTCCACGCTGAGCCTGCTCCCTCCATTGATTGACCTGAGGAGGCCTCCTGGTCCTAAAGTGACCGCTCACAGGCCTCTTACCAATCACAGCTGCGACTTTCTACCGGTCCGCGATGAACTCGTCTGGCCCTGCCACGGGGGTCCTTCAGCGGGGCTCGAATGGTCCTCCACTGGGCCGAGCGCGCCGCGCACGAGCGATTGATCCAATCATTCTGGGCTCTTGACGTGATGCCGCGCGGGGTTCGGTCTTCTGCGGGGCACATGGGCTTCTTTAGCGACGGACGGAAAACACGGAGCGTACAACTGTCACTCAGACAGAGAAAGTTTTGGGAGAAACTTGGTGCCCGGCGACAGCCAAGGAAGCGCGACGTATTTTTAGCGCGCTTCCAAGGCCGTGGCGCCGCGTACAAAGCCCAACTTGCGGCACTCACTCTAACCCCGTTTGGCACTAGCGATGCCAACAACTGGGGGCCCCTTCCCAGAAAAACCGATACGGTGAATGCTGAGGGCGATTTTTAGCGTTCGGTAATGTCTACGTCACTGTGGTGTGCTCGAATTGCGTGACCCTAGGTCACATCGGCAGCGTTATCGTTGATGCCGTTGGTCACGTGACACCTGACGAGACCAGATCCGGCCGGGCCAGCCAGCCCCCGATATTCTGAGAAGTCGGACCTGGAGTTGCTTAATTCTGGCGGCATCGCCGTCGTCCGTCTTCATGGGTTCATATCATACCCAGCGGATCACCCGTCACCCATCCTGACAGGCTTGCCCCCCCTCCCCCCCCCCCCGCCTCCATACCTGCCACCAGCTCCTCAGTTAGGCCGTACTCCACCAAGTCGATGGTGACGATCAGATCGTACTGCTGGTGACGACCCTTCTTGCCCTTCTTGCCCTTTCCGCCCTTGCCGTTGCCCTTCTGCGAGCCCTTTTGGGGCAGCGCCTTGGATGACTGTGAGCCCTTGCCAACAGGCTCAATCGACCCCGCCTTGGAGCGAGCCTGGAAACACGAGGGCACGGGGTCACTGGCCGGTCACCGCCGCTCGTCCGAACACGGGGGGACGGGGTCACTGACCGGTCACCGCCGTTTGTCCGAACACGGGGGACAGGGTCACTGGCCGGTCATTTCGTCCATTCGAACCAATCCGGTCGTCGCAAGCACAACCACTTTCCAGCTCATTGGCACGCGGTAGCACAAGGCACCAGAGCTGGGCGTGAGGATCATTGTACACCACATGGTCGTACCAAACAGATTTTACCAGTTCCGCTTCGGCGCGTCGGTCGTAGTTCGAACATGGCGCAAAACGACATGCTAAAACGAGGTGGGCAAGTCATAAAACCGAAGCCGAAGTGACAATTTCAGCCGATCGCATCACTGGAAGTTAGGCTTTGAGCGAACAATCGTAGCACTCATGTAAACTTTTAATGCCCGCTGCGGCATTCCCCGTGATGGCGAGTACACCACCGGGGTTTCGTTTACAGCAGCAGAATGCACCACCAGTGTAATGCCATGAGGTCATCAAGGAGCCACATAAGTTTGCAATGCGACAAAATATGGAGGCGCCACGGCCCCAGCGAGCTAGCTCCCTGTTGGGAAGCCGCGATCCATTACGGGCCTTGTTTAACGGGGGCCAGAGGTGCAGCACATGATGAACAAATGGAGGAAGCGAGGCCCAGCCAGGAAGTCCTGTGCTGGGTTCCTGTGAGACATTACACGTCTTGCTTTAACGGGAATGATGAATGAATCACCTGATGAAGCTTGCAGGATAGCAAGCCCGGCGTCAGGCTCGTCTGCAGGGGTGCTGTGAGCCGTTGCAGTTTTCAGAGCCATATGACATATATATATATATATATATATATATATATATATATAACTGCATCAAAATCACTAAAGCAGATATGACCTATGATTCACCAAAACAATGAAGGATATAACTCGAACAATGGAGCAACTCACAAGGAAATGATTGAATATATATTTGGCCATTTCATTTTTATAGTCAGTGTTTATCAGCTTAGCAAAGCGACTCCGCGACGGCCCACACACACACAATTTTCAAAATCACGTAATGTCCCACACTTGCTAATGTCGTGCAAATGACATGTAGAGCTGCTGGGCGCGGGAAGAGAAGGCATGAATCGCTAGCTCGCAGACCACACTGGTTGTGTGAGACACAAATCTAAATACCGGAAAATTTTCAACATGCTTGACGGGTAGCGCGGGTTGGACTTTTTGTGTTTTCACCTGCACTTCCAAACTTGACATTTCACGCTCCATATATATATATATATATATATATATATATATATATACATATACACGTTCACACAATACATATCAGCATGGAAGAATACAGTAGCTGTGAAGCCTGCAATACCGCGGACCAGGAACACTCATCCTCTGCTATTGTAGCGGTCCCCATAAGTGCGTTTACAAGCGGCCGGAGCGCGCAGCTGTCGCACCAGACGCCTGCGTGGCCGATTACGGCGCGCCGTTTGGCGGGATTTCGCCGGGAGCGGGGCTGGTCGGGACGGCCCGACACGGTCGGTCGCGCGGGGATCGGCCGGTGCGTGCGTGAGCGCTCAGAGACGGCGAGATCGGCCGGCACGTGTGAGAGGTGGGGCCGCGTCAGATGGGCCCTGCTATCGTGTGAACGGATCTACGGGCTGCGGTGAGACGAGTAAAGACCAGTGAACTGTCGGCAAGCAGAGCAACTGAACGCTGGTGATCGCTGGCTGGCGACCAACTGATGCTGCTCGACTCGACCCATGTGTGTAGGAGAGGCAGAGCGACAGCTCATTTCGGACTCGTAACGGCGCGACGGTACGTGATGATGCTACCTTACGAACCCGTTTTCTGTGGACCTTTTCTATGCGTGATAAGACAACGGGAGTCCGAAACGGAAGTTTGCTGCGGTGGGGCTAAACTAAGGGGTAAGCCTCACTAATACAATGGGGGGGGGGATGCCTCTTTGATGAGGACTAATCCGCTCTATGAAAAGTCGACTTGTTCTAACCAAGACCTAAAAATAAAGCCTCTAAATAATTTAACACAAGCGATAGACTATCACGAGTCAAAACTATGTAGATACCCTGAGAAATGAGACCAATTACAAGAATGCTTTTAGGCAATTTTGCCACTAGTTGGATAAAATTGGATTTTTATCTATCAAAATATATCAGCTCAACCTTTCACTGCCCTACGCCTGAAGCCAATTCTACAGAAATGTACACTGGTCTCGACGGAAGGACGCCAAAAGCTTACAGAGACTTCTTGCAGAATCAACTCTTTTAGAAAAGTCGTATAGGCCCACAGCAAAGCACGAATAGCATTTTAGCATCGGAGAGGAACGTAACTCACGTTGCCGAGCAGAAGTTCCTAATGTGGTGCTCGCGATCTTAACAGTTCTCAATCATAGCAAACGAGAGAATGAGCCATTCAAGCGCCGTATTCAGTCGGACCCCGCGAGCGGCAAGCCAAACAGCTGCCTCATCACAGGAGCTGGCCCCTGATCTTCTGCAGAACTGAAGGTCACGTATCAAGGTCAGGTATCAGCTTCTCGGTGCTGTGCGTAGTACATTGCGCTTAGTGTGGATACTACACAAGTTTGGATTGCCAACATAATGCTATTTGTTAGTATTTTGTTCATTTGCCATCTATTGTCACTTTTTACGTTAGTTGGTCAAACCAAAATAATGATATACGAATATGTTACACAGCTAAACAGCATAACATATCACAACATATCTTACCTTAAAACACACCAAACATCTCAACAATGCAGTTTAAGTAAGGTGGTATCAAGTTATTCATATTTTGAATTCCCATGTTACACCACGGTGACGAAACCAAGGAGGCCGTGGGCGTCATTTGCCCCCCCCCCCTCCTCTCCTTATCACGGAAAATTGTCGATGCGAACCTCCGGCTCCTGACCAACTGGCGTCTCATCGGACACCTCTGATGTCGGCTAGCCGCCTCATAAACACATCCTGACGTAACTGCTACCACACCACCCTACACACACACACACACACACACACACACACACACACACACACACACACACACACGGAGGCGGCTAGCCGACACCTCTGATGTCGGCTAGCCGCCTCATAAACACATCCTGACGTAACTGCTACCACACCACCCTACACACACACACACACACACACGGAGGCGGCTAGCCGACACCTCTGATGTCGGCTAGCCGCCTCATAAACACATCCTGACGTAACTGCTACCACACCACCCCACACACACACACACATATATATATATATATATATATATATATATATATATATACATATATATTTATAGGCATATGTATATATATACATATATATGCTGGGTTATTTTTGTCTTTTTATCATGTGAAAAAGAGCAAACAAACCCAGACGCACAAGCAGACAGGAGTTCTGATTGCCCGCAGATCTTCCCCAAATTTCCCCCTCTGCCATCGCCATATGAGTCATGTGTGTCACCAAACATCGCCCGCGTATAGGATAATGCAGAAAAGAAGCGGTGACACTGTGATATGCTTGTTGGATGAGGTCGGCACAATCTTAGGCACATGAGGAATCCCAGCATTACACTTGTTTTGTGCACTTACGCTTTCTTAACGGTTTAGGAATTAATCATCAGAGGTTTTAAAGATCACGTCATGTGACAAACAAATATGCCGCTCGAAAATCCCATGTACTTCGCCATGTACTTCCCGACTAACTCTGAATCGTAGAAATGTTTCAAGGCAAGTTGATCGTATTCCGGTCATTTACATTAAAACCTGTCGCGCATGTTTTACATTATACTGGGATGGATGGCGTCCTGCTTCCACGCTAGTTTATCTCCGATTGTTTTTTATTTTCTGGCACCGCCTGCGTTTTTTTTGGCGTAATTAATGGTTTATACCACTAACATTTGTTTGAGACATCTTCCGAGCTGATCCGTTGGTTAGGTTCTGAATAACAAGGGGAGGAGGGTGCGAGGGGGAGGGGCGGAGAAAGCCTCCGCGCAGGTCTACATAAATCGCCGGATGCCTCAGAGGGCCCAGTGTTATCAGTTTAACAAGAAGGAACAAATTGGTACCGTGTTCACTTCCCACCGCTTCCCACCCATCGTTAGCAGGGTGCAGGTCATGCAGGACGAATCTGTGTGCTGCTCCGCGAGCGGTGAACGTACGGGTCTCCGCTGAGCGGCGCCAGCGTCGCCGTCGGCCGGCGGCGGTACGGCCCAGCCGGGCTCATCCGGGCTAGCCGACCGGTTGCCCTGCCTCTTCAGCCGCTGCTCCAGCTTGAGGTCGAGTCTACTGCGCGTATGGCGCATCAGTGATCCCAGCACGCCGGCCATGCTGTCGCCGGGCCCGCGACACCGAGACAGACACACTGGACCGGACACTGGGCTGGACCGGACACCGAGCCCGTGCTGAAGCTGCGCACACACCGGGCGGCCAGCTGCAGGGCAGGACATCTTATCTGAGGCACAGCGATCTGAGCCGGACGGCGGCCGCCACTGGGCTAGTTGTAGCCGTTGTCATTTGAGTTACTAACTGGCGTAGCTGGGGTGGAGCGAATCTGCTGGGAAAAGGTTGCGGGACAAGCCGAGCAAACCTCTGGGAACGCAGAGGGCTTCAGTTAAAGAGGACGGGAGAACGGCCCATTGGGCCGTTTGGTGGGGCAAGACTGTGACGGCTCTAAGCCCAGCCAGACATGGTAAGACTCTCACCTGACCCTGACACCCGAGTGGGCTGCGTATCGTCTCTCGGCTCTTGTCACTCTTCAGAACATCAGCAGCCCTAATTGGTTCCACTCTCCCACGGAGATAGAGGCAATTTACATCGCAAGGGTTCTTAGTCCCGAGGCAGTAGCTTCTCGGACGAAGTAGTGCCTTCATTTATCTCTTATCAATCAATGTGAGTGATCTCAATTTGGTAGTTCCAAATGGTACATCGTTTTAAACATGCGGGTCACATTATTACCTTGTCGTTTCCAGCAT